CATAGGTACAATAAGTTATAAAAATGACATTGCCTATTTGAGTAGTAGTATAGATATTACTAGAGAATAATTGATATTACTGTAACGGTGAGTTTGGTGACACGTCACAATATTCTTTGCTCTTTAGAGTTTTGGTAAATCTAAGGCCTTAATTTATTAAAGGGAAACGTACGGAAAAGGTACTTGTGGTTGAGCTCATTTTCAAATAGAGTCATGTGTTTCATTTTTTATCAAAGTGGTTCATGTGTTTGAATTTTGTTATCACAAGAGGGTCACAACGTTAAAAACATCTGAAAACGACCGTTAAAAATAACTCCGATTTTCAAAAGTGTCCGAAAAATTAAAAGAAAAATACCGAAAGGTGTGCCTCATCAAGATGACCTCTAAATCACCTTCGCCTTTAGATTTTTCAAACCTGTTTGAATTATTTTTTAAAAATGATTTCGCTAATATCAATTTTCCGATGGACTTTCGAGTGACAAGGGTGGCTGAAAATAAAAAAGAAAGATGGCCTAGCGGTCGTCTTATTGAGGCGCACCTTCCGATATTTTTCTTTTAATTTTTCACACACGTTTGAAAATCGGAGGTACTTTTAACGGTCTTTTTCGGACGTTTTTAACGGCATGACCCTATTGTGATAACGGAATTCAAACACATGAACCACTTTGATAAAGAATGAAACACATGACCCTATGTGAAAACCGGCTCAACCATAAGTACCTTTTCCGTACTTTTCCCTTTATTAAATCTAATGCCTATTAAAAAATTAACAACATCTAAGGCAATAACTTTTTAAGCAATATAAATATTATTGAGTACCTAGACATTTTGTTTTAGTTGTACCACTCCATTAGGCTTCAGTTTAATGGAGTGCTTTTTGAATAAAATATGTATTAATACGTACATTATGTGTATTAATGTATTATACATAAGGTAAAACCGCGTAACCTAAATTCCGCCATTCAAACGCATATCCAGTACTCGCCCTAGCGCCGCTTGAACCCAGGGGCAGAAATGACCGCCGTCTTCCGTCTAGGCGACTGGGATTCCGCCTTGTCCGCCATCTGCCCGCAAATTTCGAGTTTTTAGAATAGCCGTGGTCATCTCCCTAGCAATTAGGGTTGGAATGAACAGTTTTTAAGCTTCATCGATTTCCTCAGGCATATTGGATTCTGCCTCCTGCAGATCCATTGTTCCAGCCGGTGTTTTCTTTGTTTTTTATTGTGCATATCTTATTTTGGTTCGGACGTGCGGGCTGTGAGAAGAAGCCGCAGGCGCTGCTTTTCGACGAGAGCAATACCGGCGCTTCGAAGGGTCTTTAAGCAAGGCGGAGATGAAGGAGATTGTCAACAAATGTGATAACATGATTCTCGAGGGTGATGAGGACGATCTGGTTCTGGACGAGGAGGTCGCGGGTAAGGAAGAGGCTTTGAACATGAGCTAATGCAAAGGGTGAAAGAAAACGAAGAGATGTTGATCCACCCCCCTCCCGAACCGCCGCCGTGGAGGAGTTATGCGACTAGGATTTGGATGACTATTTCTTATTCTGCTTTAATTTGTTTGTGTTTTTACTTTGAACTTTATGTTGTAAAAAAATCATCAACGGGAGAATTATACGTGAATTAATGAATTATACGTAGTATGTTTGAATGTACTATACGTGAATAAACTAATAAAGGTTAGTGTAAACTGAATTCATATTGGTTGAATTTGTTGTATTTATTAATTTTAGTCGTTTCTATGTTTTGAGGGATCAATTTGATTAAACTGCCTTTCAAAAAAAAATAGTAATTACTCCAAATAGGACTAAAACTATGGCAAAACTCAAAATAGGACTTACTATGTTTTTCTTTTCAAAATAGGACCAGATTAGTCCTATTGGAAACATACCTATTATTTCATTCCATTCTTACTCTTTCTTTAAATATGAGTTAATTAAAGAGAAAATTGCTCTTTGTAAGACTAAATCAATGCAAGTTTACAAAAATATGACTTGGTCATGTTTTTTCCATCCGTGTGATATACTTAATTCTATTTCAGGAAACTCTATTTTTTCCTTCCAATTTTACCCTAAAGCAATTCCGCTTAGATATCACGCTAGCTTCATCGAAACTGCTCTCTTCTTCACCAAATCCTTCCATATTTGGCAGCCCTGTTTTTTCTTCATCTCAGCCGCCTGCAACTTTATCCACCTCCTCCGCCCGCAACTTTATCCACCCCCGCCGTCCGCTACTTTCTCCACCTCCACCGCCAACTACTTTCTCCACCTCCGCCGCCCCAAATCTTCCCCCAGCTCCTCCGGCTCTGTTCATCGCTTCCACCTCTAACGCCGCCTTATTGCAGCGATTCCGGCGAAGATGGAGGTGCGACGAAGAAGTGAGATGCGGCGTCCGGTGAAGAAGAGAGCTGCGGCGTCCGACGAAGAAGTGAGAGGTCGGTGAGGAAGCGAAACGGCAGATCCGAAGTTGCAAAGGAAGAAGATGAGAGGCGTGAGCTGATACGCAATCCAGATTCCAGAATTAGGGCAGCGGCGCACCAGGCCCTTCTTATTCTCCCCTCCTCCTTGCGGGTCGGAGCATTAGACTGATTGCTTTCCAGAATTTATTGTTTATTTATTGTCTACTTATTGTCTATTTATTGTCTATTTAATGTCTGTTATTTTCTAAAAGTAAGGGTATTGTGGTCAATGCAGGTGCAGTTGAGTCTTACGCTAATCTTGGGTCTTACTTTTTGGAAAATCAGTAGGTTCTGCTCCTACTTGTTGAAATCTCCCCTAATTAAATGTTTAATTCATAATAAATTCAAAAAAAAATCAAAAATTCGTAGAAAAATAATTAAAACTTTTATAAAATATTTATAAAATAAAAAATTAAAAAAAATATATTTTAAAAAAAAAACAGTAAAACTCCATTAAAAAATTAAAAAAATATGGATGCCTTTCCCACCGCCTGTATTACCTCCCTGCACCACCATCTCCGGCCGGTGAAAAAAATGTTATTTTTCCTAAAAACACTCATGTTTTCTGAAAATGCCAAAAACATGGCATATTTCTCTTTGAGAATGCCAACATTTTATTGTTTTCTGCCATAAATTTGGCATTCGTAATGAACTTGGCATTTTTTCCCCTGGTGACCGGAGGTGGTGGTGCAGAGGCGACGTTGAATTTTATTTTATTTTTTTGAGTTTTTTATATTTTATATTTTTTTTTTGAAAATAAATAAATAAACAAATTATTATTATCGAACTATTTTTATTAATTTTTTAGTATTTTTTAAGAATTATTATTATTTTTTATTATTTTGTTATGAATTAATACATTTCAATAGCTATAAGGGACATATGTCCAAGACACACATAATTAGTCCTATGAAAACAAAGTTTATTTTTTTGTCCTATTTCTACAAATTAAAGTGAGTGACTTTTAGTCCTATTTTGATAATTAACCCAAAAAAAAATTGATTAAAGTGTTGGCAAGACATAGGTTGTTTTTATTTTTCCAATAAAAATTAGAATACAACAAACTATATAATAGGAGTAGCTTTCTTGTGAGGGGATTGTATTACAAATGGGTAGTAACAAAACTTTGAAATGTGATTTTTAACTATACAATCATAGAAATTTTGTTTTAAATTAAATGTGTCAATTTGTGACAAATTGGTCCATTACGAATGGTGATTTGTAATCTAAAATACGAAGTACACAATTAATAGGAGTAGCTTTATTGTTTTTTTAAATAAGAATTATTTGGTTGTATTAGAGTATCTCCATTCATGATCTCTAATAATCAATTTTTATATGATTCTTACCATTTAAATATTGTTTTGTAATTAATTATAAATTAATCTCAAAATTCGTTTATGTCTCTCAATCATCATTTTCAAATAATCTGTTTTTTCTCTGTCCCGCATTTATCTCTATTACATATACTTTTCAAATAATATTAAAATAATCCGGATTCATATTTTGATCCCAGATTATTGTAGCAAATAATCCTATTAAATAATCTATGTCACTCATTGATAGTTCTCTAAAAAAACTGCCATGTCACCAATTTAATCATGTAATAATCCTCCCAATGAGGATGCCCTTAAAAGGTATTAAGCTTTCCCAATTATGAGTATTGAGTCCTATTTTAGAAAGAAAATAATGATGATCTTTTTTGTCTAATTGCTTAGTTTCTTAGAGCATCTTCAATGCTAAAACGTGAACAGTGCAAACATGACATGAGCGATAACCAATTAAAAAATGATAAATAGAATTTTTCTCTCCTTATTTAAAGGATTTGAGGATCTTATATCATTTTGGTAAGTTTTTCTTCACAATGTCAAACACAATGTTTAGATGTAGACATTATTGTTGACATTACAGATAAAAACTTACCAAAACACATTGTTCCAAAAAAAGGTGGAATCTCCCACCCCAGGAGCCCCCCCCCCCCCACCCCGACCCGACATGATGGTGGGAAGGTTAGTCGCGGTGACTCAGTCAGCAGAATGACAGTAGGCCCATACACTCGTGCGCACCAGAGGCCCAGTCTTATTTCAGGTTCTGTGACCTCCACCCGGTCGCTACGGGGATTCGAACCTTGGTCCATTGTTCCAAATCTCCCACCACTCGACCAACTGAGCTACCCGTGCGGGTAACTTACCAAAACTCATAAAACAGTAGAAAGAAAGAGAGAGAAATATTATAAATTCAATCTTTTTGTGTCTATCTCTCTCATAACACATGTGCACCGTGCACATTGTATCATCGGAGATGCTCTTATATTTTACTTTTCTTGATATAATCTATTTTAAGCATAGAACCGTGCACATATAATCTATTGTATCATCGGAGATGCAAATTATTAAGATGCTCTTAATAAGGGACATCCTAAAAAGGAAAGTGAGAACTTTAATAAGAACCGGAGGGAGTAATAATTTTTTCCTTTCCTTTCGCAAAAAATCTATTTTATCAAGGCATATATAACTTGAATCATTCGATTCTATTCACATATAGAAGAGTAGGATGGGCCATATATATCATAAACCCCACACCACTTGCATCCATCCAAATATTATTCCTCATAATAATGCTCCATTCCCCCACCAAAATATTCTTCATCATTTCATTCGATTATCCCAATTTCTCTGATCTTCTTTCTCTTCCAATTCTCTGGTTTTAAACCATCCAAACCATTAAGATAACCATGAATCTAACACCTATCAATCACTCCAAAGTACCTTTCCTACTGCTTCTCTTGGTCTGCCACTTGGTTATTAGTGAAGGTGAGTTTTATGTATCCATTTCCAAGTTTTATGAAACCAAATTTTAATTCATCTCTACATACAAATATTATAGGGAGTATTGTTATTGTTGTTGTTAATACTGTTAACGCCAAGATACGAACTCTCATATTAAACTTTAATTTGCTATAATATGCATTTCGGGTTACTTTTAGCCGCTTTAGCTAGGCACGATAGTCTAAGTTTCTATAGTAGCTATAAATATAACTGAATTAAAGCTAGATATGTGTTTGTTTTTCGTACCAAAAAAGCTTGTGGGTTCGACTAACATGAGTCGGCATATATAAGAGGAGTTAAAAACAATAAATATAGAAATCAGAGACAAAAACCATGTCAATTTCAATCGTATACTCTCTTAGGCATTGTTTGGTTTAAAGGAGACGAGGAAAGGGGAGAGTCAAGGAGTCAATGTGTGGTTTAAACCGGGATGCAAAAAAAAGGATTTTGGTAAAAAAAAAAATGTGTTTGATTGGCAAAAATAGAAGGGAAATTTAAGGAAATTATTTTTCCGATTTACTTTTATTTGATAGTTTCTTTAAAACGCTAGATACATCTAAATATTATGAATATTACTCCGAAGGTCATGAGTCATAATATCACTATTTTTTAATTTTTTATTTTTAAATTTTTAAATTTTCAATTTTTTAACTTTTTAAATTTTCTATTTTTTATAATTTTATAGTTTTTTAAATTTCTTAGTTTTTTATTTATTTATTTTTTAATTTTTATAATATTTTTAATTTTTAATTTTTTAAATTTTTTATTTTTTAAATTTTTAATTTTAAATTTCTAAATTTTGAATTTTTAAATGGTGAAATTCATACCAATGATCTATACTTTTGGTGGTTCTATGATAACAATCTATACTGAAAAAGTCAATACAAATAATCCAAACTTGTAAATGTGGCTACATAGATAGATTAAACATTCTTAGATAGATTATTCTCTTTCAAGAAAATAATTATAGTAATGATATAAAAAACACTAAACTCAAATTAATGACAATGGTAAACAAAGTCAATACTGTATCATTATATATTTAATATAAAAAAGATTAATCTAATCTATATATGCAGATGTGTTTATGAGTATGGATTATTTATATAGACATCTTCGGTAGGGATTATTATTGTAGAACCGCTAAAAGTACGGATTATTGGTGTGAATTTCGCCTTTTTAAATATATTAATTTTTTTATTTTTTTAACTTTTTATTTTTTTTTTCAATTTTTTAATTTTTTAATTTTTAATTTTTTTAATTTTTTTATTTTTTATTTTTAATTTTTTAATTTCTATTTTTTAATTTTCTAATTTTCTATTTTTTTTTAATTTTAAATTTTTTAATATTTTTAATTTTTTAGTTTGTTCAGTTTTTTTAATTTCTTTGTAAAAGTATTTTCGTAAAAGTATAAAATTTATAACTTGTGTAATGTTAAACTTCAAAAATGAAGGTTCAATTTTTTTGAAATTGCAAAGTTTTTTCGTACGGATGTAGTTATTTTTAAAATTTTCAATTTTAAAATTTTAAATTTTCTCAATTTTTTGAAATTGCAAAGTTTTTTCGTACGGATGTAGTTATTTTTAAAATTTTCAATTTTTAAAATTTTAAATTTTCTATTTTTTCTTTTTTGTTATTTTTAATTATTTAGTTTTTTAGTTTTCAAATTCTTAATTTTTCAAATTTCATTTTTTTAAATAAATTTTATATTTTTAATAATTTTTTCATTTTTTGTATAAATGTTTTTTGTCCATTCGCGTGGGAGAAAGATGATGGATAATTTATCGTTACGAAAACGTTTCCTCTGAAATACCCCAATTTGGAGGTTAAGAATGAAAGGAAACGAAAGTTTTTGGAAGTCTTTGACTTTCCTCCCCTTCCTCGCTATTTACTTTAACCAAACACACATAAATCATTCACTTTCCACCTCCCCTCTCAAACGCTTAAACCAATGAGGGCCTTAGTCTTCCTTCCAATTCACTCTCTCTAAAGTCACGGTCATCAAACACAAGAAGTGACATATCATCCCCAACCACTCTAATCCACATCTATTCGAGTTAGTCTCCCTCTCTCTTTCATGCCACTTCTTCTATCTGTCACATTATAGTCCAATTTACAGCCTCTTAACGTACCGTCCCATCAGAATTGGAGGGCACTCAGGGATGGGATGTCATCCTTTTTTTTCTATATTCATGCATGTGCGATCAAACAACTCACTCGAGACTCTTGTTATTCATAAATATATGTAAATTTATATACAAGTGTGTAATTCAAGTCATATTATTTTTAGCGTTACATAAACTATTATACCTTGCAGACACAATGTGATTAAAAAAATTAATAGTGAGGCATCACTAAATGACTTCAAGCTATTTCATAAACTAGTATCTAAAACTTTTTAATTGTATATTTGATAGAACATTTTTTAAGATATATTTTAATACGGAGTATTTTAATATCTTTTTGAAAAAGTACTCGATCAAACGAAAGATCGTTGCTTTGAGCATTACTTTAAATTTCAAATCGTTACAACAATTTATTTATTATATTGGGTACATATCTTTTGAGTTTTTGTCACTTTCAGTCCCCAAACTATTTATCATTAACAATTTTGATACTCGACTTTTAATTTTTCCATTTCCCATATTACTCCCCTGCGTATTATCAAATTGACACTTTTAGTCCTTCCCATGTGATTTTGACACAATAGGTGAATGACAAAGTGTTACTAGTATAATAGTTGAAAGACTAAAAATGTCACTATTATAATAACTGAATGATTAAAGTGTCACTTTTATGAAAGTCGGATGACTAAGTGAAAATTTTCAAAGATTTTATACGCCAAAGTATCCCCAACATAATATTCGAAGATTAAAAATGAAAAATCAAAACCGAGTATCAAAAATATGGGTGATGTAATACTCGGAGGACTAAAAGTGACAAAAATTGTATATCTTTTTTATCCAAGAACTTTTATGTTACTAAAAGACAAGGCCTACCAAAGTTTCAAAAGGATGTCATTTAGCTAATAGTGTCAAAGATACGCATAAAAATGTGAGAATTATATACTATCGTATATGTCTGTGTGTTAATATTGGCATTTGGCAACATGCTCTTCTGAAACAGTGGTAGAAGTGGCCGGAAAACAGCTGGTGCCTCTGAAGACATCACCGGAGTTCATAGTGGATATGGAGTTAAGCGGCGGAAGGCGGAGGAGGTTGGATCCATTCCAGCTGTGCTCGGAGTGCAAGTGCTGCGAGTCACCAGATGACCCAAACACGTGCACTGATACACCCTGCTGCTTTGGGATTGATTGCCAGCTCCCAAACAAGCCTTTTGGGGTATGTGCTTTTGTTGCCCAGTCTTGCAACTGCACTTCCTGCAATGCTCTTGCCTAGCCAATTCATACCCCTCCATGTCTATTGATTTGCACATATTATTCAGGCGGAAAATCCTGAAATAAGAGTAAAAGCGTTCTGGAGTTTTAAAATATTACTGTCATGTTTTTATTACCTAAATAGGAGTAATGAATACAAAATTTTGAAAATTACTGCCATGTTTAAGATCTGAAACTGTCAAAACATGACAGTAATTACTTTTATTTCGAGAATAAAAACATGACAATCATATTTTGTAACTAAAGATCAAGAGTGTTTTTACTTCTATTTAGGACAATTTCTCAAAGTTAAGATGTGTTTCTGTTTTTTTTTTCTTTTTCGTTTTGTATACCAGAACTTTAATTTGTTGTTAATAGAGTTGTATCATTGAAACCTATTATCTGCTCAAAGACTATTTAAAACATCATTCCACGGTTTGTAATCTTACCAAGGAACCGTATCATGTGCCAACACATTGATTGCACGATTCAGAGATGACATAATGATAATAACATGCATAAAAGCAGTTTTAATAAAGTTAAGTAGAGAAATTTAGAATACTATAAAGCAAAAGTTCAATATGTGTAAATCTCAATGCCGTACATACCAAAAATGAATAACATCCGTTGGACAAATAATTACTGTCAAACAAACACACCACAAAAACGTTTACCTCCTAAAAATCAATTCATAAAATGGTAAAGTATGGAGAATAATAAAGTAAAAATTATGTGGTACAGGTTTATGCAGAGGAAAGAAATAACAGAAATCACAAATTAGTTGATTAAAATGAGAAATTGCAAAAGATTTTTGGGCATTCTAAAAGAAAATATGACAAAGTTTTAAAGGATGAAAGGAGTAGTATTGATATGTTTATGATTAGGGGTGGGCATAAAGCCCGAACCGAACCGGTACCGAACCGGTCCGTAATAGTACCGAACCGAATATTGGGTATTTAATGATACCGGAACGGTCAGTTCAAAAATAATGATTTGAATTTTTTATATTTTCTTCCATACCAATCAATATATTTTATGGACCAACAATTTTATACCCACATATGTATTAATGTGTCCCTAAAATAGCTAAATGTGTGTGTTTATATGATTTTTAAAGTTTTAGAAATCATTAATGACTATTCATTTCTAGTAACGTAGTTTATATGACTTTTTTTGTATCATGTTTGTGCAGTTGTACAACTTAATTAATATGGTTTACATCTTAGCTCTCACGGTTCAATTATAAATTAAATTAGAACTAATATTTAACATAGAACAAAGAAGAAGAATGATGAATTTTTCTATTACATTGAACAGATTGATGATATTATTTTTATATTTTGACATGAACTTAGTAAATGAAAGATGATATTTACCTCGTGTATCATCATTTTGCTATACTTTTTCTTAGTTGTGTTTCACTATTTGTGAATTTTAGAACTAAGTATACAATTTCTTGTATTTATATCAACATTTAATGTGAGTTGGTTGGTGTGATGTTATTTACTAATTGCAAGATTTGTCCAATTTTTTAGCATGTGTTTGGCATTGTATCGTACCGTTTTGTACCGTTCTGAAATGACATGGTACCGAATGGTTCCATCCTTAGAACCAGACCATACCGGACCGTTAGAAACCTCACGGATACATTATGGGTTTTACTAATTTCTCGGACCGTTCCGGACTTCGCCCACCCTTATTTCTGATCACACACGTGGGTCTCGCAACTCAATGAGTAGGGGGCCATGGGTGCGAGTATGCGACGCGCCCGTGGCCCGGGCTTATGGTGTTATGCCAGGGATTGACGATATGCAATAATCCCACAACAAAATGACCAGTTTGGGCAAGGAGACTGTCTGTTTAGAGTTTACTTAAAGAACCGTATGTACTCTACTATGTGAGAACCTTATGTAATTCTATAATATGAAAACATAGATACCGTTTGGAGACCCTGTTTTTCGACTTACAACGTCATGAGCAAAAAAATTCACCAGACACGCGACTTTTTATTTCTCGCGCTGAATTGTGTGATAATCAAAATAAGGAAGCTTAGAATTACTTTTCTGGCTGCATTGGCTGAAGTTAATGTAGCAGAGTATTTTAGCTATTATTTGATATAATTTTTGATGTCTTATCAATAAAATATATTTTAGATATACTTTTTTTTAAATAAGCAAAATCAGTAAATCTAACCACTTCAATTAAAACTTCGTAAATTTCAGCAAAATTAAAAATTCAGCTAATTTCAGTGTTACCAAATGGGCCCATAGGCTCCTCATAAAAACTGAATTTTCTTTTATCGCGCTTTGATCGCGCGTTAATCAGTAATCGCCCATAACACCCCCTCGTTCTTATTTAGCGGCAACATTACATTTTAATGATGTCTGACAATGCACAATTTTGACCATTAATATATCTAAGAACATATAAATAAATAGATATTGAAGCTTCAAAATGATACAAATTTAATAATATACGAAGTATTTCAAAATATAATTTATCAGTAAATTAATTAATAAAATTTGGTCAAAATAGAGTATGGGAATAATGTAAAAGTCAACAGATCTTATTTACGTGTTGATTTGTATTTTATATTTATGAAAAGTCACGCATATGAATTCAGTTTCCTAGCTCAGCTCTTACAATTCTGTGTCCGTACACACACACACACACACACACACACACACACATATATATATATATATATATATACATATATATATATATATATATACATACATACACACATGGTACAACCTATTACAAAGGATATGCAAACTGACTATAATAGCCCTAAATAATTCACACTCCCCCTCAAGTTGGCGTGTCTTTTGTGAAGATGCTCAACTTGCCGAGCATATTTTTGAAGTCTTTCTTCCCTAAGACCTTGGTGATTATGTCCGCATGTTTCTCCTTGCTTGGTACATATGTTGTTGTTATATCCCCTTGCACCAAATTATCTCATATAAAATGGCAATCCAATTCAATGTGCTTTGTTCTATCGTGAAAAACGGGATTCTTCGCTATATGTATCGCCACTTGATTATCACAATATAATCTCATGGGTTGTGTATGAAACGCCCCAAGACAAGCAATAAAGGATCAGATCCACAGAAGCTCACTCGTTACACTTCCCATAGCTCTATATTGTGATTCCGCTGATGACCTTGCAACAATGCTTTGCTTCTTAGTTCTCCATGAAATCGGTGATGTTCCCAACTTCACAAGAAATCCAGTTAGAGTTTGCCTTGTTACCGGGCAGCTTGCCCAGTCTGAATCGCAAAATCCGTGTAGTTGTAATCCACCTCCTTTCTGTAAGATTATGCCTCACCCAAGAGTCCCTTTAATCTATCTCACTACTCGTAAAGCGGCTTCCCAATGTATTAATCTTGGAGCCTGCATAAATTGTGATAATATATGGACTGAATAGGCTAACTCAGGCCTTGTTATAGTAAGATATATCAATCTTCCAACCAAGCGCCTATGCTTCACCACATCTTTCATCACCTCGCCTCTTGTTCTACTGGAAAATCAACTGGTTTGGCTCCAAGTAATCTGCATTCTGTTATTATGTCCAATGCGTATTTTCTTTGACTAAGGAACAATCCTCTCTCCCCTCGTCCTACCTCTATTCCCAAGAAATATTTGAGAGCCCCCTGGTCTTTGATTCCAAAACTTTCATTTAGCGCACATCTAAATGGCCTGCCTTGAAATTATTGCCTACCAAAATTATATCATTTACATACACAAGTACTGCCATAAAGATTCCTTCCCTCCTGTAATTAAATAGTGAGTAATCTACTCGTGATTCCAGAAAACCATATGTCCTCAACCAAACATTTAGTTTTGCAAACCAATTTCTTGATGCCTCACGCAGTCCATAAAGTGACTTGTGCAGCTTGCAAACTTCGTTCTCTCCTTTCACATTAAAACCGGGTGGCAGCTTTATATATACTTCTTCATCAAGGTCTCCATGCAAGAAAGCATTATTCAAATCTAATTGATACATCAACCACTTATTTTCTAAAGCCACAGTAGTAAACATCGCACATTAACCATTTTAGAAACCGGAGCAAAAGTTTCATGAAAGTCTATACCTTCAATTTGTGTGAACCCTTGCGCTACTAACCTCGCCTTATATCTTTCATTGGTGCCATCCGCATGCCGCTTTATTTTGTACACCCATTTCCACGCGACTATGCATCGGCCTTCTGGCAAAGCTGTGATGCTCCAAGTTTTATTTTTCTCTAAGGGTTCTATCTCCTCTCTCACCGATGTATGCCATTGTTCACGCTTGAGTGCCTCCTTATAGTCTTTTGGCTCCACTTCTATAGCAATAGCTGCAAGGTACCTTTTATAGGAAGAAGAAAAACAATTGTAAGTGACATAATTTGTTATGGGATAACGAGTACCTTTCTGTGAGGATGCCTCCGGTCACAGATGAGCTAGTTGGGGATCTCTTCTCTTCACTGTCGAACACACATAATCCTTTTGCCATGTCGGTGCTTTTTTTATTCTTTTACTCCTTCCTAAGTCCTCTCCTCAATTCCTTTCTTCATGTCTCACTGCCATTGATGTCTTCTCTTCTATTCCTTGGCGCTCAAGAGATGGCATTTCTGCATTGTTTTCCATTTCACTAGTATCTCCCTTGCAACCAGTCTGTTGCCTATAACTCCCTCCTCTTTGATTCTCGGAATTTCCTTCATCCAAAGTTATGGCATTATCTTCATCTATTTGCAATGAACTTGGTACTGTCACTTTATGTTGGGCAGCCCCATTTCCATCCTTCCATGTACTCCCTTCATCAACAAATGGTAGCAAGTGCTCATGAATCACCACATCCCTCGAGGTAAATACCTCTTGTCTATGTCATAAACTTTCCACCCCTTTTGACCATAAGGATATCCAATAAATATACATTTTCTCCCCCTTTCGTTAAACTTATCCTTAGCTCCAATTTTACTATGCACATAGCACAAACAACTGAATACACGTAAATTATTCAAAATAGGCTTAACCCCAAATAATTTTTCATATGGTGTTTTACCTTCAAGCACCGGCGTGGGTAGCCTATTAATCAATTACCTAGTTGTCATGACACACTCTTCCTAAAAACCTATGGGTAAGTTTGCTTGAAATCTCAAAGCTCGTGCCATCTCCAAGATGTGTCTGTGTTTACGCTCCACTCTTCTATTTTGTTGTGGCGTCCCCACCATGCTAGTGTGAAATAACATGCCTTGTTCCATGTAAAATTCTTTCATTAGTTTTGAAACAAACTCACTCTCATTATCACTTTGAACAACTTATACATTTTTCTCAAACTGAGTCTTCACCATTTTGCATAAGTCACGTAAGAGAACTCCAACCTCACTTTTCTCTCTCATTAAATATATCCACACGGCTCGACTACAATCATCAACAATCGTTAAAAATAATGTGAGCATGACAAACAATTCGGCCTATACGGACCCCATATGTCACAATGTATTAAGTCAAAGATATTCAAAGCTGTTTTATTATTACGCGCAAACTCCAAACGAGTCTGTTTTGCCCTATAGCATGGATCACAAACAATCAAATTATTGCACACCGAAGCTTTATTAATCAAACTTGAAACATCTCTTAGTACTTTACTAGAAGGATTGCCTAATCTATTGTGTCACTTTATTATTACTTCATCTTCTTGCATTACTGCTGCTACCTTTATTGTCCTTTGCTCCTTTGACCTGTGAAGATAAAAAAACATCTACTAGCTCACCCACTCCAATCGGCCTCCTCGTAGAGCGGTCCTGTATCACACACAAATTACGAGAAAATGTCACTATACAATGTAAATCTTCAATTAATTAGCCTACGGAAATTAAGTTGCAGGCCAAGGTGGGTGCAAATATAACATCTGCCAAAATCAATCCTTCATATATTTTCACTTTCCCATGCAAGGCTCCAACTGTCTGAACTCCATCTAGCAGCCCAATGGTTATATGATCGGTCTCTCTCATGTCATACAACAATGCTCGGTCGTCGGTCATGTGGTGCTCTACACATGTATCAATAATCCAACTAGTACATCCATTATTGTATATATTCATACCTGTGAGTTTCTCGTCAGCAGCCTTATTTGGCTCTATTAAAGCCAAAATACACTGCTTCTGATCCAGAGTGAAATCACTGAAATCAAAGCCTTATATTCCCTTTTCATTGGCTGCCACTGAGCTACTTTCAATGTGTGTGTCTGTCACTGTGCTTGCTGCATTAATTTGATAGTTTGGGCCGGAACTGTGTAACCCACGGCCTGAGCCTCTTCCTTGGAAACCCCCACGCTTAGCACCGCCTCTTCCTCTATATCCTCCCCTTCCTCTATTTCCCCAATTTGGAGGATATCCAATTAGCTGAAAACAATCACTAATAAGATGGCCTTCTTTTCCACAGTGTGAGCAAACATTACGTTCATGCTCACCCCTAGCTGCACTCAAATGATTCATATTCCCATTAATCATATTTCTTACAGCAAAAGCACCCATCACACCACGTTCTTCATTATCGTGGAAAACATTTTTATGTCTCTCCTCCCGAATAGCACAAGCATAAGCTGATGCAAGTGAGGGCATTTGATCATTGGTAAACAATTGTGATCGCATTACACCATATGTTGCAATTCACTATTGAGTCCCATTAACAATTTATGTACCCGTTCTTGTTCCTGCAGCCTTATAAATTCCGAGGCTGCCCCACATGTGCATCTAGGAATCTTCACATAATTAGCCATTTCATCCCATATTCCTTTAAGGCGAGTGTAGTATTCCACTACTGTCATCCCTTTTTGTTTTAGATCAGACAGTTCAGTCTTTAATTCATGAACTCTTGATGCATTTCCCACAGAATAACGCGCCTTGATTTCATCCCACAACTCCTTTGATGTGGTTGCATATCCAATGCTCGGATGTAGCTTTGGGTCAACGACATTCCTTATCCAAAAAATTATCATAGCATCGCATTGTTTCTAGTAGACTTCCTCATAACTGGTAGAACCGTCCGGATTCTTTTCCGGTTCAGTCACCAGGCTGTCGACGAACTCAAGTTTGTTCTTCGCCATCAGTCGGTTTCTAACGCCATCCGCCCACGTCTCATAGTTGTCATCGTTGAAAATTGTATTAGAGATGATTTTACCTAGGCTTTCGGGCGGATGCAGATACAAAGCAGATGTCGGTGGCAGAGTTTTGAACTGCAGCAATCCACGGGTGGCTCCCGTCATCGCTTCTTTGAATGGGTCTCAATCTTATGGAAACGCCTCTCTGATACCATATGAAAAGTCACACATATGAATTCAATTTTCTCAGCTCTTACAATTCTGTGTCCGTACTTATATATATATATATATATATATATATATATATATATATATATATATATATATATATATATAGAATAAGGATCAAATGAGAAGAGTGCTTATCGTAAGAAGTGAGAATGCATCTGGTGCGTTCAATTTAAGATCTGTGCATCAGATTTGCAAAAAATGCACGGGAAAGTGCAAAAAATATTTAAAAAGTGATCCTAGACGCGGTGGCGTTTCTGTAATTAATCGGAACTTTTCTGACATCCCAAAAAGTGCATCAGATTAGCAAAAAAGTGCATCAGAAATAGGTAAATGTGTAACTTCTCACTTCTCACGTTAAGATGTCTTCTCATTAGAACCCATCCCTATATATATATATATACATATAGTACAACCTATTACAAAGGATATACAAAATGACTATAATGGCCCTAAATAAATCATTCTGTTATGTTCTCGAGCTAGAGCTCGCGTCAACCGGCGATTGGTGAGGGCAGGTGATGAGATCCCTAACCTCTATTTTTGTAGGTAATAACGGAAAATAAGGAAGGCAGAGAAGGGGATAGAACTTCAGGAAATTTATGGAGTTCATTTGTCCTTGAGAAGTACTTAATTCTTCTGGCTTGTTTATTATTCAAATTGAATCAGTAAGGGTTACAAGAACCAGTAAGGAAGGATAGAATCACATTAAATCAGTTCTTAAAATAGACTTATCTAATGATGGAAAGCAATAAAGTTGCAGACAAACTTAACTAAGGAAAGTAATTAACTAATCTAATGAAGGAAAGCAATCAAACAATAAATCAGAAATCTAATGTAAAGGAATTTAATATCCTTCCATAATGAACTTCTTAATCAGCCAAGGATCTGCCATTGATATTGCGGCGATGATAGGTCTTTCCGTAGAATGCATCATCACTCCCCTTCGGGACATCAAGCTTGTCCTCAAGCTTGAAAGATGGGAACTGATGTTTAAAATCGTGCAGAGGTTCCCAAGTAGCCTCTTCCAAAGTAAAACCTTTCCAAACAACTAAAACTTTAGGAAAGCCTCGATTTTATCTGATGCGCACAACTGCTTCAGATTGAAGGAATAGTCGAGCTTATGTGATTGGGGGTGCTAGCGGTGCATGATCAGGTGGACTTCCCACAAACACTTTCAGTTTTGAAACATGAAAAACGTCATGAATACGACAATCCACAGATAACACAATCTTATAAGCAACTGGTCCAACCTTGTGCAAAACTTTAAAAGGTCCATACCATTTGGGAGATAACTTGTGAAATCGCTGGCGAGTTAGCTTGTTGGCGATAGTATTGAAGACGTACCCAAACCCACTAGTTGGGTTCATAAGTGACCTCATGATGGTGCTTATCATATTGATCCCTCATTCGGGTTTGAGCCTGTTGGAGATTATGTCGAGCAGCCATGAGGATTTCATCCCGAGATTTGAGCAATTCCTCCACCGCAGCCACCTTAGAAGTCCTTGGTTCAAATGGTAAGAGGCGAGGTGGGTCACGACCATAGACCAACTTGAAGGGAGTATTGCACAAGGAGGAATGAAATGATGTATTATAGCAATACTCAGTCCATGGTAAGCTATCCACCCAGCGCCTTGGAAGATCGCCAACTAGACAATGCAAGTACATTTCTATAGTGCGGTTTACAACCTCTGTTTGGCCGTCAGACAGAGAGTGATAAGAAGTGGAAAATGAGAGTTTGGTACCACATAATCGAAAGAGTTCACGCCAAAAGGAACTTGTGAAGGTTGCATCACGGTCACTGACAATGGTCTCTGAAATGCTATGCAATTTGATCATGTTGGTGTAGAAGACCATGGCTACGGAGGCTACTGTATATGGATGAGCTAGAGGAATGAGGTGTGTATATTTAGACAGACGATCAACCACCACCAAGAGGACTGATTTTCCTTGAACCTTGGGAAGACCCTCAACAAAATCCATAGAGATGTCAGCCCAAATTTGTTGTGGGATAAAAAGAGGCTGAAGAAGGCCTGCAAGATTGGTATTTTCCCACTTATTTCTTTGGCAAACAACACATTGTGCGATAAATTCCCTGACTGAGGCTGCAAGTTTGGGCCAACAAAATTCTCGGCAAAGGTGATGAATGGTTTTCTGCACTGCTTCATGAGTAGAGTTGTGTACCTCTGCCAATATAGCCTGGATGAATTTTTGAGGAAGGTAGCAGAATAATTTGTTCCTCTTGAATAACAAACCATCACGGACAGAGTACAAACTATGTCTCTCAGCCAGCTGCAACCAAGCTAGTGCATCCGGTGAAGTGCGAAGTTCATCCCTCAGTTCTCCATCTCTTTAAGACCATGCATCAGCTGCCATGTTAAGTTCTCCTGGTTTATATTCCACAAAAAAATCAAACCCAAGAAGCTTTCTCATCCAATGTTGTTGAGGGGAAGAGGTAAGGCGTTGGTGCAGCAAATACTTGAGGCTATAATGATCTTTTTTTTGCGATGATAATGATCTGTTTTGATCACAAAGGAGCACCCCCCATAGGTAGTGGCGCCAATGTCGCACAGCCTTTGATAAGCCAATTAATTCTCGCTCATATGCTGGAAGTTTGAGATGATGATCTGCCAAATTCCTACTAAAATATGCAACGGGGTGACTTTCCTAGTGCAGCACTGCACAAATTCCAATGCCCGAGGCATCACATTCAATGACAAAAAGAATAGAAAAGTTGGGAAGTTGTAGAACCAAGGCAGACGATAGTGTTGTTTTCAGGGTATTGAAAGCATCATCTGTTTGCTCATTCCACTGGAATGCATTGCGATGTAGGAGGTTGGCCAATGGTGTTGCAATGATGCAATAATCTTTAATAAACTTGCGGTAAAAACCTGCCAGGCCAAGAAAGCCAAGTAAAGCAGTTGCTGAAATGGGTTTGGGCCAGTCCACTACAGCTTGGATTTTGCTAGAATCTGCTGCCACGCCAGATTCATCAATCACATGCCCAAGATATGAGACACGTTGACTCCCAAAGTCACACTTGGATCTTTTGAGGTACAGAGAATTTGTTTGTAAGAGGTGAAAGACCACTTTTAGATGATGGACATGGTCTACCCACGTAGTGCTATAGATTAAAATGTCATCAAAAATACGAGCACAAATTTTCGGAGATAAGGACCAAATACCTCGTTCATGAGAGCTTGGAACGTGGATGGGGCGTTGCAGAGGCCAAAGGCCATCACAAGAAATTGAAAATGCCCATGATGGGTCCGAATGCGGTTTTCTCAAAGTCAGTTGTATGCATACGAATCTGATGGTAGCCAGATCGTAAATCGAGTTTAGTGAAGATTTTGGCACCATGTAATTCGTCCAAAAGCTCATCAATTATCAGAATCGAAAACTTATCTTTAATTGTCTGCGCATTCAGTTCACGATAATGCACACAAAAGCGCCAAGAGGAATCTTATTTGTGAACCAGTAAGACTGGAGAAGAAAAGAGTGATGTGATGTGGCGGAGTATACCCGATTGAATCATTTTTGTGCATTGTCGTTCAATTTCATCCTTCTGCAATTGAGGGTATCGATAGGGAGGAATAACCACAGGATCTGTACCAACTGAGAGCACAATGCGATGATCACAATGACGTTGAGGAGGGAGTACCACTTGTGCCAAGAAAGTAGTTTCAAATGAAGAGAGTAGTGAATCGAGTGCAGCAGTCTCAGTCAACTGTGGTCGGGGGTGATGGAGGGATGAAAAGGTAGTATCATGCTTCGCGGATAAGGCAACTCTTTCACCCTTCCACATACAAGTTCAAAGTTCTACCAAATGGGGCTCAATGTACGAATCCATTTAACGCCCAAGATGAGTTCGACACCTTCCAGGGGGATGACAAACAAGGTGGTGAGAAAGGATAATTTCTCATACTGTAAAAGAACTTGGTGGCAAAAACCGGAGCTAGGCACGCGTTTCCCATTAGCAACTGCAACTTGGAGGCCTGTTTTTGAAGTGATAGGTAGTTGAAGACGTTGCGCGGTGGCGCTGTTGATAAAGTTATGGGTGATGCCGGTGTCGAATAAAGCAAGTATCGGGTTGCCCGCTATGATTAAGCAAACCTTCATCATGTGTGAATGGTTAAGGCCTGTTATGGCATTCAGGGAAATTTCCGACTCTCTGTCACCGCCCACATCATCTTCCTCATATGCCTCATCATCAACAACACCTAACATATACAATTGGTGTTTACAAAGATGGCCTTTGATCCATTTGTCATCACAATAGTAACAAAGCCCCAACTTTTGGCGCTCTAGCATCTCTGTTGGTGACAATCTCTTGATGCGGGCAGGGCGAGACTGGTTGGACTATTGGATGGTGATTGCAGATCCTGGGGAGAATGTGTGAGCCTGTCGATTGACTGAAGAAGTGTGCAACAGTTGGCCTTTGCGGGCATAATCTCGGACTGGCCTCATCCAACGAATCTGGTCTCATTCGTTCAACATTAATACGAAGTGCTTCATCAGTTTCGACGGCGGTGGAAGAGACAGCTATCGTGTGTGTTGTGGAAGAGGTAACCTGAGCAGTAGGGTTGTTTTTCTCCATGAAAGTTTCCATTACTTTGGCATGGCTACCAAATTTATTCACAACATCGATCAGGGAATTCACAGTGACAGTAAGGGTGTCAACCTTTTGCATTGTGGCGGTGAGATCCTCCTGGAGTTTCTTTAATTCTGCCATGTCGACGCCCAGGCTAGATTTCGCGTCAACCGGCGATTGGTGAGGGCAGGGAGATGAGATCCCTCTATTTTTGCCGGTAATAACTGAAATTAAGGAAGGAAGGGAAGGGGATAGAACTTCAGGAATTTTATGGAGTTCCTTTCTCCTTGATAAGTACTTAATCCTGGCTTGTTTATTATTCAAAGTAGGAGTCCCCACTTATAGTACGGGTTACAAGAACCAGTAAGGAAAGAGAGGATTACATTAAATCAATTCTTAAAATAGACTTATCTAATAATGGAAAGCAATAAAGTTGCAGATCAACTTAACTAAGGAAAGTAATTAACTAATCTAATGAAGGAAAGCAATCAAACAATAAATCAGAAATCTGCTGTAAAGGAATTTAATATCCTTTCATAATGACCGGCAAGTGATTTCATAAGATAGAGGAAGCACAAATTTACAGCAAAGGCCATAACACAGAATATCCACATCTTTCTTTCTTTCTAGTTATCTTTTTAGCATTCATCGCATGGCCAGGCTATGCTTCCCCTGTTGAGTGGATGGAAGCCATATTGATCAGTATATTGATCAACATTTTTAGGAGGTTTTTATTTGGACTTTTTTCAGTCCCAGACCAGACCACATCAAATTTAAAACAGACCAAACTTTCATAGCTATAAAATACATAGATACCAGACATTTATCAGATAAGACCAGAGTTAAACAGACCAGACCAGCAAATTTCTGTCCAAGTAAAAACATCCTAATATAGAGTACCATTCTTGTCCAACAAATGAAGTTCTAAATTTCTTATCAACCTACAGCAACCACAACTCATGAACAAAAAACGAATCTTCTAATTAAAAGGTAGTAGTAGTCACGAGTAAACCCAGGCTTCAAGATTACTATAACTTTGGATGGCAATATACTGTAGAAAGAGGGATTCTGTGTTTTCTGCATTGTCAACATCCTTATAGTTGAAAAAAGATGTATTATATCAACTTTACAGACCTAAAGTATTTTGATTATTCCAAAGAACAAGAATGCAATCATGTGTCTTGACCCTGACTCCCTGAGTATGGGAAATCCGTAATTCTAAGTTAATTTATATCAGAGAATGTGTTCTAAATGTGTTACGTAGATAACTTCATGTGTCGATTCCTTAAAAAGTTGCTTAAAATATGGTTCTTATGTCTCTAAAATAGTTCAATGCTTTACATAATACATACTGTAAAAATGCGTGAAATAAACCTTTGCAAGTGTCCTCAATTAAACCAACTTTTCCTTAAAGTAATTCTTTCTTCTAAAATGCAATCATTTATGTTGACTTAGCTGCTGAGCATATGAGGATTAATTCAAGATTTCCACGTTAATTGAATATGATCAAGAATTAAAATAAATAAAATATACTGTAATATACTATAGCAGATATTCTACTTCACCAAGAAGTGCATATGATCCAGCCTCCCTCTTTGCTAAACCAAACAGGTCATGCATCCAACAGGTCCCAGGCATTCCAAAGGTCCAAGCCTACAGCCATCATTCTTATTATTCATACTGCTTCTCTTTGTCTTCCCCTTGGTTATGGGTGAAAAAGGTGAGCTTTGATTTCCTTCACGAGAAACTCATTCCTTAACACTTCAATACTGCGTACACAATGCTTTGATATCTACCAAGGTTACTGATTTTGATCCGTTCGGGCTGGAATGACCACAACGATTCACATGAATCACCATTTATGCTTACAAAACGTACAGATGACCATGGAAGATTTTTTTTCCTTGTTTTTTTTTTCAAAGATCAGCAGTAATAGTCCTTCAGCAATATCTATCTCATTCAGATTTTTTATTGACAACGGGTAAACTGTAAAGTACTGCTTCGTGTTTCCATACAATACTAGTACGTAGATTGTAATAAAATACAGCATAAAATAGACGAGTATAGAATTGGAGAGGACTTTAGAATGCTCATGAAATAGAGCAGACTCAAGTACTTCCTCATTCCTTCTACTGGTTTGCAATAATATTCAATTTTGTATTGCATGTCTTCATGGGGGACGGTGTTATGTACTTCTAGGGGTGGACCCAGTCCGGAACCCGGTCCGGCATTGTTTAGGACCAGCCAGATCCGGAATTTCCGGTTTCGGGCCTCGGACAAGCCTTGTCCGCCCAAGACGGGTACCCGGTCCCAGCTCACCTAATTGGGGACCTAACCAGGCAGTTCCAATCCCGGTTCTTGTCTTGGACCGACCAATTTTTTTAAGCCTTGGAAACGGGCAAAAACGAAAGAATAGAACGAGACTGGGTCCGGACTGGGACCGCACCCCCCAGATACCCGGAAACGATCCAGAGCTGGATTTCACCAGGTCGGACCCGGGCTTCTCCAACTCACCAACCAATGATCGGGACTAGCTGGTCCAGGATAGAGTCCACCCCTAGTTTTTTTTTTGCAGATTTCGACAATGCTCCTTCCGCAGGTACTTCTATTGTTCTCTCTGATTTCTAGGCACATCTTTTAGGTTACAATTATTAAAATATTCGAGTTTTTATTTATTTAAATTTACTGAATTGAAGACTGAACTTTAAACACAGGAGCTCCTCAATCTCACACAGTTGATAAGCCATCAGAATCACAGGTAGTGACGGGAAAAATGCTACAGCCGATGGGCACCACCCCAGAGTTGAGACTTCACATGAAAACAGCTGGAAGGAGAAAGCTGGAGACTTTCCACACCTGCGCACTGTGCAAGTGTTGCCAACAATTTTCCGAAGACAATTGTGTTTGGATGATGTGCTGCTATGGTATTCGGTGTGACCTTCCAAACGAGCCTTTAGGGTATTGTGCTTTTACTCCCCAAAAGTGTAGCTGTCAGACATGTGGTTGAGGCTGTAAATGAACTGCTAGTTTGTGAACAAGCTCAATTGTAGATGAACATATCATATACAAATACCTTTGGAAATCGACTCTTGCATCTAGCTCCAAGTACACATTTTATGGAATAGAAAGAGGAAATAAAGCGTGAGAAATGGAGTGTGAAGAAATAAGAATAGTGATTAAGAGATCTTTTTCCTACCAAAAGTGTTTCAAGGCAAGTTTCTAAGCTCCTAGAAAAATTATTCAACTGCGTGCATGACCTTTTTACTTATTCTTCTGCAGAAATATATTCCGTGAAATTTAAAGCCAAAAGCTTTACTTATTGGGTTTTATTGATATATCATGATCACATACCTAATGACTAAAGATTCACACATTTTTCCCCAAAGAAAGAACTTTTCATTGAACACCAAAAACGATCTGCAAAAGATTAATTCCTATGTCAATAAAAAGTTGGGTTCAAACAGAACTACACAAACTCAAACTATAAATTAGTTTTGAATCAAGGGAACCTAAGAGCACGTTTTGCTGCTTGAAGTGTGTTGAAAAGCAGCATTGCAACTGTCATGGGACCCACTCCTCCGGGCACAGGAGTTATTGCAGAAGCTACTCTTACTGCTTCTTCAAAGCAAACATCGCCAATCAGCCTGTAACCATGCTCACTCTCTTCATCCTAATAAAACCAATTAACATACACATAATGTACGTCATTATTTTCCTCTGAGCACCCAGATATATTTATTTCGTTGGTATTATAGATGAATAAAATCAAAGTTCGAAACATGACCATAATCTCAAAAGTGTAAAATAATAATGTAACATGTTAGGCATTGAAGGGTACGGTACCTCTATTGGGTTAGTGCCAACATCAACAACAACTGCACCGGGCTTTAACCAAGTGCCCCGGACTAAATTAGGTACCCCTGCTGCAGCTATTAAAATATCAGCTTCCCTGGCAACAACATCTGGATTGTTCGAAAATGCATGGACAATGGTAACCGTTGCATGGTGCCTCTTCCAAAAACATTAGAGAAAAAGATGAGTGGTTCTTTCATCCACAGTAAGATTTAAGGTCCATTTGGAACTCAGGAAATAATAGTGAAAGTATTAAATAGTGATGCATTTATCTAGAATATTCTATGTAGAAAAGGCTAGAGATGATCTAGAGAGTTAAAGCTAGAAAGTATTCTAGAAAATTCTCTACTAGAGAATTCTTGTGTAAAATCTAGAGTAATTAGACATAGATGTAAAATATTCTAAAATCATAGCATTTAACAAGGATCTAGAATGATCCTCTAGCTCCTATAAATAAAGACTCATTGTACTCATTTGCATACCAAGCAAAACCAAAAAACATCAATACAATACTACTTTTCTAGAGACAAGAGCTCTCCTCTAAAACACATCATCTACATTACACCGCACTAAAATCACTTATTCTACTCATACAACCAACAACCTCTTCTATTTTCTAACAAGTGGTATCAGAGCCAGGTTCGATCGTAAGCAGGCATTATGGCAACATCAAGCTTCTCGGTATCAACTCCGATGTTCAATGGAGAAAGCTATGACTATTGGAGTGTCTGTATGAAGACTTGCCTAGAATCACATGATCTCTGGGATATTGTTGAAGAAGGAATCATCATGCCGGAAAAAGGAAGTGACGATGCATCAACTTCCGAGGTACGTAAGAAACAAAAACAGCAAAATGCTAGAGCTCTCTATCTTCTTCAACAATCCGTTTGTGATACTATTTTCCCGAGAATAATTCATGCTAATACGGCAAAAGAAGCTTGGGATATTCTTAAGGAGGAATTTCAAGGAAATGAGAAAGTTAGAACTATTAAATTACAAAGTTTAAGAAGAGAGCTCGAAAATTTAAAGATGAGAGATTATGAAATGGCAAAAGATTATTTCTCTCGGGTTATACATATAGTCAACGAAATGAGAACTCTTGGAGAAAACATAACCGACGAGAGAATAATCCAGAAGGTCCTAATCAGTCTCCCTGAAAAATATGATCCAGTAGTTTCGGCTATTGAGGAGTCAAAAGATCTATCAAAAATGTTCATCACTGAATTAATGGGGTCGCTAGAAGCACGTGAGCAGAGGCTAAACAGACGACACGAAAGTTCATTAGAAAGTGCCTTCCAGTCTAAGCTCAACATTAAAAGGAATCACTCGAGAAATGGTGAAAACTTTAAACCACATAAAGATGGGAATTCTAACAACAAGGAGAGGAAGACGAACTTTCCACCATGCAAAATATGCAAGAAGACTAATCACTTAGAGAAAGATTGCTACCATCAAGGAAAGCCACAATGCAGAAATTGCAAGAGGTTCGGGCATGAAGAAAAAGATTGCAGAGATAGAAGAAACTATCAGGCCAACTATTCTGAAGATTTTAAGAAGGAGTACATGTTCTACGCATGTCACTCAGCCATAGAAGCAAAAGAAGAAGAGTGGTACATTGATAGTGGGTGCAGCAATCACATGACATCAAACGAGACCATCTTCCATGACTTAGACACCTCTATCAAGACAAAGGTCAAGATGGACAATGGCAATTTGGTGGGGGCAAAGGGGAAAGGTACCATTGTCATAGATACAAAGAAAGGTACGTGCTTTATTAGAAACGTTCTCCTAGTGCCACACCTTGCACAAAATCTACTAAGTGTTGGCCAAATGATGGATAGTGGATATGCCTTGCACTTTGAGAAAAAATCTTGCCGAATTTATGACAAGAATAATAATCAAGAAATTGTTGAAGTAAAAATGGGAAATAATAGAAATTTTCCTATTCAATGGCAATATCCACAAAAGGCGATGGTGGCTCAACTGAGTTATATGAGTCTATGGCATCGAAGATTTGGGCACTTCAATCTCAATGCCTTGAGATTACTACACCAAAAGAAGATGATGAGAGACATGCCTCTACGGGATGAAAAAGGAGTATGTGAAGGATGTATGGTTGGGAAGCAGCACAGGCAACCATTTCCAACAGAAAAGACATGGAGAGCCAAACAGATACTAGAGCTTGTCCACACCGATGTCTGCGGTCCAATGCGCACGCCTTCAATTTCGAAGAACAGGTACTTCATATTTTTCATCGATGATTACTCTAAGATGACATGGGTGAATTTTTTCCAAGAAAAATCCGAAGTCTTTAGAATATTCAAGAGATTCAAGAACTTCGTGGAGAAACAGAGTGGTCATCAAATCAAGAAGTTGAGAAGCGATCGAGGTACCGAATACAACTCAAAAGAATTTGACAAGTTCTGTGAAGATGAAGGTGTAGAGCATCAACTAACAGTAGAATACACTCCACAACAAAATGGGGTATCCGAAAGGAAGAACCGCACAGTCATGGGGATGGCAAGTGGCAAGGTCTATGTTAGCTGAAAAAGGAATGCCTAAAACGTTCTGGGCAGAGGCAGTATATACTTCAGTCTATATTCTAAACCGGTGTCCAACTAAGGCGGTTTTAAACAAAACACCTATTGAGGCATGGTCGGGATAAAAGCCTTCAGCCAAACATTTGAAGGTCTTCGGAAGCATGTGTTACATTCATGTTCCCTCTGTTAAAAGGCACAAATTAGAAGACAAGACAGAGAAGGGCATCTTCCTTGGCTATAGCTCCAAATCCAAGGGATATCGAATCTACAATCTCGAGACAAAGAAGTTGGTGACAAGTCGAGATGTGGAGTTTGACGAGCAAGCCTCTTGGAATTGGGAGACAGAAAAAGTTGAAAGAAAGACAACTACTGTCCAACTAAAGGAAATACCAGAAGAGGAAAATCACGATCAACAAAGCCCCACGTCTACTCCAAGATCCTCTTTTGAAGCTAATACATCAAGAAATCACGACTCCTCGCCAGAGTCCCCACCTCTTCGGGTAAGAACTCTAGCAGACCTATATGAGTCTACTGACATCTATGAAACATGCAACTTTTGCTCCTTGGAGCCATATAGCTACATCGAAGCCTCCAAAGAAAAAGTTTGGATTAAAGCAATGGAGGAGGAGATCAAAATGATAGAAAAGAATGATACTTGGGAAATGGTAGATCTTCCCCATAACAAGGAGGTTATTGGAGTCAAATGGGTGTATAAAACAAAACTGAACCCCGATGGCTCAATTCAGAAGCATAAGGCAAGGCTGGTTAGGCTGGTTGCAAAGGGGTATGCTCAAATACCGGGAGTTGACTACACAGAGACGTTTGCACCAGTTGCGCGGATGGACACAATAAGAACACTCATAGCTCTTGCAGCTCAGAAGAAATGGAAAATTTATCAGCTCGACGTCAGGTCAGCCTTTCTAAATGGAGAGCTACGAGAAGAAGTGTATGTGGAGCAACCAGAAGGATTCATCAAAGAAGAAGGAAAAGTTCTTCGTCTAAAGAAAGCGCTTTACGGGCTCAAACAAGCTCCACGAGTGTGGTATAGCAAGATTGATGGATACTTCACCCGTCAAGGGTTCAGGAGGAGTAAGAACGAGGCTACACTATACATCAAATCCCAAGGTAAATCTGACATTCTCATCGTCTCTCTATATGTTGATGACTTAATTGTCACGGGAAATAATTCCAAATTAATTGAAGAATTTAAGAGAGACATGATGAACACTTTTGAGATGAGTGATTTGGGATTAATGCACTACTTCCTTGGCATGGAGATAAATCAAGAAGAAGAAGGCATATTCTTATCTCAAGAAAAATATATTAAGGACATGCTAAAGAAGTTTAAAATGCAAGACTGCAAAGCCGTCGTTATTCCACTGATTCCTAATGAAAAATTGAAGAAAGAAGATGGGTCAAAGCAGACGGACGCAACCAATTACCGAAGTTTGATTGGGAGTTTACTCTACTTAACGGCTACGAGGCCGGACATCATGTATGCTACAAGTTTGCTCTCGAGGTTCATGGAAAGTCCAACTGAGACTCATTATGGAGCGGCAAAGAGACTCCTTAGGTGTCTACAAGGAACCATCAATTATGGTATTTGGTACAAAACAACTCTTGATTCACGATTAACTGGATATAGCGACAGTGATTGGGCTGGATCTCATGATGACATGAAAAGCACCTCCAGTTACGCATTTAAGCTGGGTTCGGGAATTTTCTCATGGGGATCAAAGAAGCAAGATTCTGTTGCACTATCTTCAGCCGAAGCCGAGTATGTTGCAGCAGCCGGAGCAGCGTGCCAAGCTATATGGCTAAAAAGAATATTAGAAGACATGGGAGAATTGCAAAGTTCTGCGACTCAAATATTTTGCGACAACAAGTCAGCTATTGCGATGGCTAAAAATCCAATTCAGCACAATCGTACTAAGCACATCGATATTAAGTATCACTTCTTGAGAGATGTCCAAGCAAAGGGGCATATTGAGATGAAGTACTGCCCAACAGAAGAACAATTGGCAGATATTTTCACGAAGGCCCTCCCAAGAGACAGATTCCAGTTTCTGCGAAGAATGCTTGGAGTCACCGACAAATGCATCAAGGAGGAGTATTAAATAATGATGCATTTATCTAGAATATTCTATGTAGAAAAGGCTAGAGATGATCTAGAGAGTTAAAGCTAGAAAGTATTCTAGAAAATTCTCTACTAGAGAATTCTTGTGTAAAATCTAGAGTAATTAGACATAGATGTAGAATATTCTAGAATCATAGCATTTAATAAGGATCTAGAATGATCCTCTAGCTCCTACAAATAAAGACTCATTGTACTCATTTGCATACCAAGCAAAACCAAGAAACATCAATACAATACTACTTTTCTAGAGACAAGAGCTCTCCTCTAAAACACGTCATCTACATTACACCGCACTAAAATCACTTATTCTACTCATACAACCAACAACCTCTTCTATTTTCTAACAGAAAGAAATCAGAAAGGATAATATAGAGGTAAATGAGAAGGAAAATTGTTTTTTTTTGGGGGGGTGATATGATAAACTAAAATTCAACAAATTTAGTTTAGATTTTTGTTCAAACTCATTTTGTCTATTCGGTTTTTAAAATAAGAATTTGGAAATCTTAATGTATGTAAAAGATAATAACCATATTTTATTTCCATTGCACTTCCCATGGTAAACCCAAATAATAGAAAATAACTTTCCTACCCACTCTTTTTTATATAAAATTATCCATGATCCAGGCACACCATTAGGTATGAAGCATACCTGCAAGAGCAAAAACATGGGCAATCCAACAATATTGCTTCTTCCAATCATCACAGCCTTCTTCCCCATTATTTCAACATCAGACCTAAGAAGCAGCTCAATGCAGCCTTTAGGAGTACAGGGTATGAACAACGGTTCTTTACCTTGTATGGCCAAGTTTCCCATGTTCTGCGGATGGAAGCCATCCACATCCTTTTCTATACTTAGCATATTCAGTATCTTTTCGTTGTCCAAATTCTGTTCAATTCCACTTATCAACCTATAGTCAATAGTCATCAACCAATAAAACCACAACTCATGAACTAAAAAAGTTCATCTTTAGAACTGCTTCATATTAAGCTTCTTAGAAGGAGATAGTCTATGATGGGAAAGAAAAGGATTAGGGCATGTTTCAGGAATATCATCTTTCAAGAGAATGAGTGCAGTAGCTACTACCTTCTCATTTGAAGGGTATTTTGTCAAATCAATATTATTCCCTGAATCTTTCACTGAATCTTTCTTTGCCCTGGCTTTCTAGTAAAAGACAAAGGTTATGTGCCGGAAAAAGCATAGGGGAAGTTTCAGGAATGCTGCAATCGCCCAAGAAGAGGGTAGCTCACACACCCTCATTTAAAGGGTACTTTTGCTAAGAAATAGAAAATCTGGGAAAAAGACCCCACATATATAACATACGACATCACGTCTAAATAAAATATACAAAAGACTAAGTCTTGAATGACAATGCTTATTGTTGGGGAAAAAAACTCAGGTCCAAATCATTTGCTTAGTTTTACATAAATGTTGAATTATTTGTTTCACATCGCCTGAATATAAAATAATAAAGCAACATATAAGATTTTATGATACTCTTCCTAACAGATTAACATAAAAACCGAAGTTTTAATAAGATATTTAGCTTGGTTGAATTATACTTATAATTTTTTACCACACATAGTTTGGGTAGCAGGTGTGGAGTCAATTTGGCTCATTTATCCACATTAAGTTGTCCAACCCCAGTTTAGGCTGAGGATCCATCAAGTTGTCCAGTCCGATTATTTGAAGTATTTGTCCCACATTAGTTAAATACAAAACAATAAACTAACATATAATATGGCTACTTCTCGTATCATATTGACCTTCTATTATGAAAGTCAAATTTTAATATGAAACGGTCAATTCTTACCTGTGGCAAAGGAAGTTGAACAAGAATACCGTGAACTGAAGGATCCTCATTCATTCTTGATAACTTATCACAAATTTCATCTTCTCTGCAGTTCTCAGGCAGATGGTTCAATGAAAATTTGAAGCCAACTTCTTTACAGGCCGCAATTTTGTTGCGCACATACGCAAGGGAGTCTCTTCTTTCTCCTACCAATATCACTCCTAAGCTAGGAACCTTCCCAATGGATTCTTTCATTCGGCTAACTTCAATAGCTATTCGTAATCTAATTTCCTCAGCAACTGACTTTCCGTCAATGATTCTAGCAGTCTCTTTTTCTGTATATAAAAATCTAGCTCAGAAACGAAAATTCAATCAATTTCGATTATAGAGTACAAATGATGTAAATAAGATCATACCTAATCAATCAATAAACGACCTAGCTCAACATTTTCAAATAATCAAAGCATAGCATGTGAGTGGCAAATGTAATAGGGACACCTTTTAAAAAACATAAAATGAAAAGGAGTTATATATGTCTATAGATCCACACAAATACGTTTAAGCTGCTTACCAGAACGTTTTTGAGAAGGGGATGCACTGCCGCCAGGATGTCTAAAAGCATGAGATTGAGACCAGTCATCGGGATGATCAAGGGAAACTAGAGAAGGAGATTTCAATATCTGGGAACCCAATGTACTAAGTGTCCTATACAGGGAATGAACTAAAATACTGGATCTATCCCATTCCTGCCCTAGATTTATTTTCACCACTCTCATTTTGTCAGTTCTTCTCCTACTTAACATCCGCTCAATGTGCTGTGAATAAAGCTTATGGCCTTACCTGCATACCATTTCAAAGATTTTCAGAGCTCTTTTTAAGGACTCAAATAAAGAATGAATATCATATATATCTCGTGTAAATGGAAGTCGAAGCCAAATGTGACTGCAAAAAATTGTATTTGACTGAAATAAAATTCAAAAAGATCAGTTATTAGAACGCATGTTCTTGTCAGACACGATGAATGACGATAGTTTTACATTGAATTCAAAAAATAAAGAATAAACCGAAACATAGTAAGTTGATAGAGGCCAAGAGCTCTAAATCCTCTCATAAGTCTGCATATCCATGGAAGACAAATTGCATATTATCATGAAAACGTTCATTCATACTTCGAGGATAAAAACGCAATAGCAAATCTTATCGTACCCCCCCGAATCCACAATCTACTGGAAGAGAGCAGATTTCCATAAGTTGTTTTAGGATATCAGCCGACAACAAAGTTCTGGCGTATTATTTTAGGATATCAGCAGACAACAATTTTCTTTGACAATCCCAGAGAAAATTAAGTTCATAAATAAAAAGTTCTCGTACAAAACGGCACGGTTATTTAGGCAATAATTAAATAAAGTACTTCGAGTATATTTTGAGAAATAATTTTAGTAGGTATATATTATAATGTAGTTAGTATTAATAACTATTATGTTATAAATGTATTATTTTTAATATTTAATGATTAATTTGTCACTTAAGATTGTTAATTGTTTCCTAAATTGGAAATGAGAACCTTTATATGGGACGTCCAAAAAAAGAAAGTGAGAACTTTCTAATGAGACGGAGGGAGTAAATATCAGTAGATTTTTTATTGTTTCAATTTCAAAACAGACAGCATTCAATTTTAGTGTACACGTTTTTTTGTACGTTTTTTGTAGATTCGTCTGTCTCACACTTTTTTGTTCACTTTTAGTTTAATTTTGTTATCAATTTTATTCTATATAAATTCTGTTTTAAGAATGAAATATACTCCGTAATTAATTTTGGTTTTAAATTTTGGTTTTTTTTGTTTTTTTTTTGTAATATTTCTTTTATTTGAAAATACAATGTAGAAGGAATGTCATATGTAAAATCAAGAGTCTCCTCCCCCTTGATAAATCGAGCACTGTCCCTAGTGCTCGTCATTGTTTGAAGTTGTTATTTCTTCTTCTTTTTTAAAGATATATGGGGACTTGGGAGAGGGAGGGTGAGAGTTTCCAAGATTTATGTGGAGCAAGAGGAAAGTGATGGGAGCAAGATTATGATGTTTTTTTTGTGTTTGGTGGATGCTTTGGGTTGATCTTTGAAGAAAGAAAGATATGGTTGTGTGGTTTAAGGTGATAAGAGAGGAGTTGTATGGTGTTTTGGAAGATTATAAATGAAAAGGGGTGAAGAGGAGGCTGATAAAACAAATTAAACAAACAATCACGTATCTCGCTTGGATTGCCTCCTAAGAAGCGTCTTATTTAACGTCATGGCACGACGCCGTCTTTTTAATATCAGTCGTTCAAGCTTGGATCGTGATGATCCATCTTTGATAGAGTATATATCTAGAGAGAAGTGAGAGCTAGAGAGAGAAGTGCAAGTAAATGCTTCAATAGAATGATTTTGTAACCCCCATAACTACCTCCAGAGGAAGTATTTATAGGAAAAATACGGGCTAGGCTCCCAAGCCTTGGGCTTGGGAGGCCCATTTACAACTGGACCGCTATTGGGCCGAATACAAAGTAAATGATGGGATATATAAATGAATAAGTGTAAAATCTAGTTCTGCGAGACTTCCGTGGCCGACGGGGGTCTAGCCGACGAGGGCACGGCCGACGAGGGCACGGCCGATGAGGGCACCCTAGTTCCCTGGCTTCAGGATCATATTCCGAGTCGGTCCCTCTTCGGTCGATGAGGGTCCTTTGGCCGACGAGGGCACTGCGTAGTGGCTTGTACTTTATGTTCCTCTGAGTATGTGGGTCATGGGGCCTAGACCCATATACTCCATCAGGAGTCCCCACTCTCTAAGCTGAGATGCAGACGAAGTGAAGGAGAGTAGATTTCTGTGCTTGATGCTCTTGGCCGATGTGGGACCACGTTGGTCATTCCCTGTCGTGGCGTTTGGTGGCCCTGTTCTGAGTTTGGCCGTTACCTTCCCCTTGATGTGGACGATGAGCGTTCCGGTCATGGGGGGCCGATAAAGACATTTTTTCCTTCTCACGACCTTCGATGGCTGAATTTTGTTTTTGGGCCGAGGAGGCCACTGCGGTTGCGTTCTTGTTTGAAGACGACGAGCCTCCCTCATCTTGAGTGCCCGTTAAGGGTGTTGTTCACTCCTTCTGACCGTTGGTTAAAGTTCGTACTGTTGGCCGAGGAGGCCATTGGGGCTGCTTTTTGGTTTGGACGATGAGCGTCCTTGCTTGGTGGGAAAGATGAGCGCCCTTTGTCACGAATGGGCGATGAATGGTCGTGCCCACTCGTGACAGTTGATGGCTGCTCTCTGCTCTTTGGGGTCGAGGAGGCCCTTGTGGTTGTCTCCTGTTCGAGGATGATGAGTGTTCTTTTGTTCCCAGGTAGCCGGTGAGGGTGCAGTTTGCTTCTTGGCCGGTGGCCGTGTTCTGTGTTTTTTGGCCGAAGCGGTGTTGTCCGTAGTCTAGCGTTCACTCTTTTGAGGACGATGACGGCACTGATCTGGGAGGGAATTCTTTGTTCGCTAGCTTTGCTGCGGCCGATGGTGCACCACGATGTTATGGTCGTTGTGGTGCATGTCTAATGTTGTAGTTGTGGACTTAGTATATTTTAGGATTTCTTTGATTTTGTCCTGATTTGCAAAGGCCGGTGTAGTCCCCCAGTCCCCAACTGCTTCAGGCCGAAGAGTAGGTGAGGGGTGAAGGAGTAAAGGATTTAACCCAGGCTGAAGCGGATTCTTGTATACACCTGAATCCAATTCCTTGGCGATTCCCTGGTCAAGGTAACCTTGTGGGAGAACCCTTGGACGCGGGTCGCTTTCAAGAAATTATCATCAGGGTTTTATACAGGGTCGATGGCGTGGGGTTTTCTTGGTGGTTTTACCGCCGTGGCCGTTGAGAAAACCATGCGATTGGCATTCTGTTCAAGCCGATGTGGATGTGCCTTGAGATGTGATCTATCCATTTGAAGTATCTCTGTGTTGAGGCCGATGCGGACATGCTCTACTAATGTGGCCATTGAGTGGTTGGCTTATTAGTGGTGAGCTGGTGTTGTGGAAGTGGGCCTTACCCGACTTCTAAACCGGTACCCAGTCCAATGGGCCTCGAGGGTGGTGGTCGTTCATGTGGCCAATGGGAGGTTGCCACGTGTAGTGACCGTTGGGGGGAAGGTCTATAAATACCCCCCCCCCCCCTCCGAGGGGGTTTCCCCATTGCGTTCCTGAGATAACGAAGTGCTGCTGAATTTTCTAGAGAGATAAAGTTCTTGCAAGTGTTCTTCGTGTTTATCCAAGCTTCAAAGGTTAGTTCATCGAAACTTCCCTCTATAATTTGCATATTTCGCTTCCTAGGCCATTGATCCCTTGTTAGTGGAGATAGACTCTTAGATCCAAAGTAGGAATATCTAGGCTCTAGTTAACTGTTATAATGAAGCCTTTGGACGATGAGTACTACCCATACGATGATGAACCCTCTGCTGGGTCCCTTGATTACCGGGTGGTGGAGGAGTGTTGTGAGGAGATAGAGGAGTTGAGCTCCTTCAAGTCAGGGGAGGGTGAAGGTGAGGACGAAGAGGCCGCCTCGTCGTCTGATAGTGAAGAAGTAGGGGCTTCACGTGCTGTGGACGGAGCGTCTACATCGGCTGCGATCCCCTGCCCGAAGCCGGTTTCTGCTGTGAAGGGAGCTGCTCCGATGAGAAGGCGGCGGCCAAAGAGGGGTCCAGGTTTCTCTTACCTGGATCTCACCAATCTTTATCTGATTAAGCCGGAGAGTAGTGCAGACGACTACCTGGTGGCCCAGATGTACGTGGGGCCGTATGGGCGGGTTAGGGCGCCCAAGCCGACGGATCACGTGTTGAATCCACCTCCGGGGTATTTTGGAGTATACCCCATGAGCTTCGCAAAGGGACTTAGGTTTCCCCTTCACCCTTTCATCACGGAGTATCTGGATATGGTGGGTCTCCCTCCGGCCTAGCTGACTCCCAACAGCTATTCGCTCATCGTCGGCTTTCTTCTCCGCTGCGATGAGCTAGATTTTAGGCCGACAACGGCGCTGTTTATGAACCTGTACCAGATTGGCCGAGGAAGCCACAAAAATTGTGCTGGCTACACCAATCTCCAGCAGCTGCCGAAGAAGAGGAGTTTCACTGACCTCCCTTCGTCTATTCACGGATGGAAGAGCAAGTTCGTCTTCGTGTCCTTGGGTGAGGACGGTACGGAGTTTCCTTCAGTTGGTCACGACGGTAGGTTCACCCTGCATGACGTGCCGAAGAGCAGTATTCTAGATGCCCAGGTAGCGGCGTTTCTGAAGGGTGGGCCGAGGAGCGTGAAACATTACATCACGGAATACAAAATGACCGCCCCCGGCTTCATGAGGTATCACGTTTATGGTGACAAAGAAAGTGATCTCGAGTTGTGGCCGAAGATGACCACCACCTTTGAGGAGGCCGACGGCCCGGATATGGGCATTCCTGCTGATGCCGATGGTAATACCTTCCCTGGCGTCTTCGTCTATGTTTTCTTTTGTGGTTTCCTAACTGTTTGTTTCCCTTGTTGTGCAGACTTTGCTATGGATCGTAGATCTGTCATGGCCCTAGCAAAAGCTAAGGCGAAAGAGGAAATGGCCGCAAAGGAGGCCGCAAAGATGGCCGCTGCGAGCGGCGCTCAACCCAATTCTGATGCGGCGAAGAAACCGCCAACCCAGCCGAAGAAGAAGCGGCCCGCCGATGACAGCCAGAAAAAGCTTACCGAGGCCGGTATGCAATCCAAGAAGTCGAAGAGGGCTTCCCCTCTGGCCGATGCTGGTGCCGGGTGTGTGGCCATGCCGAATGACGATGCGGGGGGCTCTAGTGCCGTTGCCGTTGTGGACGCGGTTTCGGTTCCTTCTTCGGCGATCCTATCTCAGCCACCGCCTATCGTCCAAGAGCCGCGTAAGCAAAGGGCCGGCAAGGAGCTGGCCGGCGGGACCTACAAGCTCGAGGTAGAGTACCCTGTGAAAGGTGGCGTCTTCAATGACGCCGTTGACGGCCATGAAGTCCTGGCCCAGGTTGTCCCGGTCGAGGATCGGGCTTACCTGAAGAAGCTGGGCCCCGTCAGGATTTACGGCGGCGACATGGACCTCATCGTCCAAGTAAGTTCCTCGTTCTTTACGTATTTTGTGCCAGGGGTTTTTGCATCGTCCTCATTTCCTCATTTCCTTTTTTGTTTTGTTACAGGGCGCTCTCATGTTGATGGAGAGCCACAAACGGCAAGAGCAGGAGATTGCTCGTCTAAGGGAGGCTGAGAAGAAAGCTGCCTCGGCCGAGGAGGCCATGGCCTGCCTGGACCGGCTTCGGGAGGAGGTGA